ACATAGGCTTAATACAAGAGTCAAATGATTCCGGTGGGTAATGGGTTAAGATACAAGCATGAGGTAAACAACAATATGTAAGCTAGCCATGACCACAAACATGCTTACCATTTGGAGCACAGTGCTACTACTCAATCACAGTGCGGAATCCATGCAACCAAACATCACACTAATGAGCAAATCCAACACGGTAACGACGACGTATCAAAGATATACTAGCAATGTCCACTATCAAAAGAATAGGAGTCCAATCACGACTATAGCATCTCCATTAGAGCAGGAGCTCACCCCTTCTCAGGTCTGTGATGATTTAAGATATCCTAGGTGGAGGACCGCCAACAAACGAGCCCAGACGACGTCGTTAGAGCCAAACAATCGACACGAAAACCTCCATCAACAACCGGGCATATGGCAGGCAGGCACGAGGAGGTCGCCACCGATTCCTGCGTTCGTACCACGGTACGCTCACCACTGGTGGGAGATGATGACGAGAAGGATCAAGAGAGAGCGAGAGAGAGAGAGAAAGAGAGAGAAGAGAACGAAGAACACCACGAGAGCCAGAGATGGATGGAGACATGTATACACACACACACAACGAATCAAGAAACATACATAGTGGATGAGCTGTGCGTTGACTATGTGGTGTGCGTGGAGACGGAGCGAGAGGAAAGGGTTGATTTTCAGTTGAACTATGTGTGAGCTAGCTAGGACTGTGTGTGATTTTTCTGCGTGGGTGACTGAGTGAGTGAGTGAGTGAGCGAGCGAGGGAGTTAGCATTGGAATCGGGGACATGCCTGCATGTGCCTAGTGTTTGTGTATTGCGTACCAGTGGCTTTGTTGTTGGTTGGGTCAGCGGTGTATAGTGTTATTGTGGACGGGGTGAGTTAACATCTCATGATGAAAGCTAGCGCAGTCTGTGTGCATGTAAAATGCAGGTCAATGCGCTTGCAGGGTGTACATGCAGACAGAGATGCACTCTTAGATAACGTGCCAGGATGATGCTGCACAAGTCTTGTACACCAACACACAAACACACACAAAAATCTGGGAAGATGAAGAGTTTGTTTGTTTGTGTGTGGATACCGTGACACAATACTTAAATCCTTGATTTGTTTGTATGGCGGTCTGTCTGTCTGACCTTCTGTCCACGAATGCTTGCAAATTAAAGCCCTCATTTACTTGCTCCAATATATGATAAAACGCCTCTTACAATGCACAAACAAAAATAATCTTGTGTTTAATTTCACAAGGCTACAATAAGAGGGAAAAAATAAACACACACACACACAGTATGTTTGTTTCAGATGTAGGTAATATGTGACTGGGAGTGGGTGTGGAACTGAGGGTGTGTATATGAATGTGACAGAAAGAAAATGTCAATTTACATGAAAATCTGGCAATCGAAGACTTCTCATCATTGTATTTCCAGTCTGTATTGAAGCTACTTAATATCACCATACTGATCTACTATTACAACTGTAGATGTACACTATGTTTATATCTAAGGAAGATCTCTCCTACATGTGTACATATCCATGTTCCCTCTTTCTCCCTCTTTCTCTCTCTCTCTCTCTCTCTCTGTACATATTTACATTCTATCTCACTCTTTCTTTCTGTTTGAATTCAGCCATTCAACATTACCATACCGAACTTCATTTAAAAGAAGCTGATATCTAAAGAGGACAGTCATGTCTCCCAACTAACTACTATATGTACTTACCCCTCTCTATCCTTCTCTCCCCCCCTCTCTCTCTCTCACACACACAGACTCTATCCCTTTCTTTTCCTCTCTCTTTCTGTCTCATTCAATTTCTCCATCTACATGTATCTTCAAATCATTTTGTAATATCCCTATTTTCTCCCCACCCCTCTCGTTTTCCTCTCTCTCTCTCTCTCTCTCTCTCTTTACATGAAAGTATATTTATTTACTATTTAGTATTTTATATTGGTGTTGTACTAATAATCATCTGTTATGAGCCAGAAGGGCATTTATGTGTACCAATCACCAAAAGATATCTTGACCTTACATAGATACGATGGTAGTTACATATCGTAATACCATATTATTACTTCTGTAAAGGTACTTCTGTAAAGGTCAAACACTTTCTCAATTAACATAAAATTGACTTGTGATTAGATCACTGGATGTAACTGTATGCACTTGCACAGACCCAAAGTCTAAATTGGGTTTCATGTTGTTCTTTATTTTCTTTATACTCTATATCTTTTTTTGGCCCAGAAAATGCTGGATAAAGTTTTTTGACAGGCTGATTTTATACATTTAAACTGTATACAAATTGTCTATTTTACATGATTGGTACACTTTAAATTCACTTCATGTAATACTGCCTTTCTTTCTCTAAACAGATGATGTGTACAGGGCATTTACAAAATACAACTAAATTTATATTCATACCCTTACCAAGTTTTGTCACTGTTAAGTATGTGAAAAATTGAAACGTTTCTTAATAATGTGACATTAGAGCTTACATCTAAAAAGTATTTGACAAACCCTAATTCAACCAGTCCATATTTCGCTCTTGAGTTACATGTACATGTATGAAACACACACAAAAAACATCAAATTGACAAGGGGTACAAATAATTTGGTTGTTGTTACTGTATGTCGTTTCATGATGCAACCAAAACTCAAATAATCTGCAGCAAATAATCCTCAAGTATGGTATTGGTACAGCAATTTAACGCAATCATGCATCAGTAAAAGTATCAATAACCACATTATCCACAACAAGATTTCAGAGCACTGTCTTGACATGTTAGCGGTAAAATAACTTTAAGGTACGACTACCTGTATACTGTACATTTAAAGGTTTGCGGTATGTGTGGTTTTTAAAACTGTCTATAAATACAAATTATGATCTAAATTTCAATCACGAGTGACTCACAAACTGAAATGTCATTAAAATAGCACATTCATTGTATATTGCTGATTATCACAGAATCATACAATTGAAGAAGTTTTAAAGCTAAAAGCTAAATTGTTTATTAAAAAGTTGATGGCTTGTTTGAAAATAACGTTGAATTACCAATTCATGAGATGAGAATTTGTGAACCTTGTCAGGACAATTATCTACATGTAGATGTTTGTGAATATTCAATGTTTGTTATATAGTGCTTTGTCATTAACTGACCAAAGCGCTAACAGTATAATTATCATCCCAGTTACTGGATTAAATTATTTTTCCACAAATTACTATGCACGATCTTCACTCCTTAGGGAGCATTCCAGCAAGTCAATTTTTTGCTAATCCAACCACAATGAATTTGTATCCTACTGGGTACCCAATCAACACCTGGGTGGAGTGAAGCAATGTAGATAAAATGCCTTGCTTGAGGACATAAGAGCCGTTCTGGAGCTTGAACCCACGACCTTTGCATTTTCCAGTCAAGTGATTAAACCACTCGACTACGCCCCCTCAACATAGTGAAGGCGGACGAGGACTGCACTGTAGACTACTCATGCTCTGATAATTAACTCCAGGTTGGAGGGCTAATTACCTTAAAGATAAAGTCGAGTTCTGGTCATGCAATTGCATTGTGAAAGAAACGACATGGAATCGACCAGAAAAGGTTGATCATCTAGCATAAAAGAATTTGTGTGTATTGCAAGGTTCTGGAATCATCAAAATGATAAGAAATTTGGCCAAGTCTTGGTAAAGTAACAAACACTGTACACATAAAGATGTATATGGGACTACACGAACATGTGGCGTAAAAATCCTACCCTGGAGTTTTACAATGTTACATGACATATTTAGAATATGAAGGCATTTGAAGAGCCATGCTTTTCAGGGAACATGTCTTATCTGATGTTCTTCCACACTTGCATAATAAGAATGACAACGCTCACAAATTATTTTTCACTTTTTTCCAGAATTCAACCTTCTCTTTAAGTTATAGGAACATGGCCAAGGCAGATAATGGATGAAATAAGCCCAAGGATCATAATGGATGATTTATCTATTAACATGGTACACCATCTTGTCTTAGTTTGGGAGTCTGACAGGTTTTAAAGAGGCCAACCTCAACAAAAAAAAGTTTTTGCTGTCAGGAATATTATGCCTAGGGTTCTATACTTGTATCTCATCATCATTCATATTCACGTTCAAAATTAGTTTGGTATAGAGATACAGCAATGTTTAATACCCAAAACAAAATCTCAACAAACTTAATAATGAACTGAAAGTACATGAAGTTGTTACACATCCAGACACAACCGGATCACTGACCAATATTGTTTTTGTATTGCTCAATCATCTGGGAACTTCAACTATCGATATCGATATCATACACACAAAAAGCCATATTTAACGAGGTAAGACAAAATTTGTTATTTCGCCAGTCAGCCTGATATAGATAATAATAATATTTCATGGCTTTGTTTTTGTGTGATACAAGAATATATTGCTCTCCCTATGACAATATTGGACTCATCTCCGACTCATTCGATATTGTCATAGCTCGAGCAATAAATTCTTGTATCACATTCAAAGCCATCCAATATTATATACCGGTAAATGTTTCATTTTGTTGATTAGTCCTCTTTAAACTAATTTGAAACTTGAAAGTGTTTACACTAATTTGAAACTTGAAAGCATTTTGTTAAATTTTGAAATGATAGTAAATGGAGTTAAATGTTTCATTGATTTAGTTTAGAATGTTAAAGAACATACCTTGTGTTCATTTTCAAAAAGAATGATAAGAATTATATTCATACAATAGCCCTTAAATCACCGATCTCACTATATTAAAACTAAAGGAGCAATTTTGAAAGAAGCACAGTGTCGGTCACATGCATGAAATACAACTTGTTACATGTATATTCCATGCATGTATGTCCATTTCTCCATAATTCTATAACTTGTATACATGTATACATGTATATACCTTTAATTTAATTAATCAGAAGTTTAAAAATGTATACACCTCAGGTGCAGTTAAAAACAAGAAAAAATTTATTTGAACTAGTTGGTACTTACCATGTCACTCTTCTCTCGTTTATCCTCCTCTCCTCATTAAATGTCGTTTGTAATGAGAAAACTTCCTATAAAGCGGCAACGATGTAGCGTCACTGGACCCAGAACCCAGATACTAAAACTCCGGTCAATCACCCTCCAAGTGCCCTTCCAAGAAGCCAAACCAACGCACAATTCCAACGTCTTCATTCCATTCCCACGGGTCCGAGCTCAACTCCTCTTCTCTCCCGCAGACCGACACCAGAGCTCCGTCACCCAAATACCTCTGAAATGGAGGAAAAACAGGCCGTGGGACCCCCGAATGCCCCGATCACCTCCGGCACTGTTCATCAAACGCCGGCGCAAGATTTCCGCGAAAAAATAAAGATGACGAAGCCGATGCTACTTCACCTTACGTGTGACGTCAAAAGAAAGTTGCTCAGGAAATACCTGCCAGGAAGATTGATGGCCTATGGTGTCTGTAAAGAGGAAAATTAATATTTTATTACAATGATTGTAAGAAATGCCTTCATACATGTACAGGTAATAGGGAATGATTAGAATCTCCACTGGCCATTTTGTTTGTTCAGAGCGAGAAGGGTGTTAAAGATAAAGGTGAATTCTGGTTTTAAAAAAAAATGAATTCTCATAGAATCAAACAAAACTTACACTGAATGTTCAAGATTACAAATAAATGTCATTTGCCAAACAATTTTGGTAGAAAATGTATACTGGCTGAGTAATGAGCATAGAAAGATTAGGAAATCAAAGTTAGTAGCCCCGACACCATTTGTGTAGTCCAATGTACATCTTTCTGTGTACAGTGCCTGTTACTTTACCAAGACTGGGCCAAATTTATTATGATTTTGATGACTCCAGAACTTTGCAGTACACACCAATACTTACATGCTACATGATCAACTTTTTCTGATCCATTCCATATCTTTTATTTCACAAAGCAATCGGATGACCAGAACTCACCTTTATCTTTAATTGTCATATGAAATAGAGTTTTCCTGTTTTTGATAGGAAAAAAATATGCTTTCTCAAATGCTCTGTCATTTCAGATAGAGTTTTCCTGTTTTTTAAAAATTGAAAACAATATCCTTTCTCATTGCTTTGTCATATGAGACAGAGTTTTCCTGTTTTTCATTGAAAACAAATATCCTTTCTCAACTACAAGGTCTCTTTCGAGGAAGTCCAAAGAGGAAAAGAAAAGAAAAACCCTCCTTATAGGCTTATATAGTCAAGAAACCAATGACCTCAAAAAGAATTACGTGTGACTAAAAAGATTATCTGCGCCTTGTTGCAGGATTCCTATGAAATATGCGCTATTTACGATGCTTTCTGTGGATCTTAATCCATGAACACATCACAATCAAGAATTGCTAATGCCACTTTTTCCTATTTGATGAAAATTTGTTGAGAGGTACGATTTGAGAAGACGTCAAAGGCAGAATGAACGTGGATTAGCGAGCATTTTATAATGCATTACTTATGATACGTTCTTGGAATGTGTTCTGTTTCTAATGACTCTTTTTTGTTCGGTGAATATTCGAAGAAGCTCACAAAATACAGTAAACCTTTATCTCTTGCTTCAATTTCCTCAAACAGTGCCATTTTCTCGGGATTACTGGGTATGGATTTACAAAAAAGAATTTCCATTTGTGCCTATTTGATAAACATTTGTTGAAAGCAAGATTTGAAATGACGTCAACAACTGAGCCAAAGTGGATTGCTAAGCACTTTATGACACGTTAGTAATGATAAATTCCTTGAACATGTTACGATTCCAGGATGTACGGACATGACTTGTTTTGCGATTATTCTCGGAAGCTCGCAAAATTCTGATCAAGAAACGTCGACGACTGATTTACGATGACAGTCCGCACCTCTAAGGGATTTGGAAGCTTCTGGCTATCGCAGAATAGTCAAGATATGATCAGTCACTATCTCTTCTCATTTTCTGGTTAAATTTATATTTCTGAGAAAACAAATTCAAATGCCGAGAAAAGTTCATTTTATACAGTTCCTCTTTCATGGACAGGTTTTGTTTTCAGTTTATTAACTGTCAAGTCAGGAAATAGTATGCCACAATCCATGCACTCCCATAATCTACATGTACACATGGACATGGATGACATTGTCGGTTTGGAGCTATAAGGATGTTAGCCCTGTATCAAATTAAACCAGTTAATGCCCTTCTGGCTCCAAACAGATGACATTGAGTGATTTCAAGTTGGGTGTTTAAGGCTGGTGTTAGTGTTTAATAAACACTAACACCAGCCTAAACACCGAAATGGAAATCAGCTGGTGTTATAGGCTTTGACCTCTGAATATCGTCAACTTCCGGTAGCTAGTGTTATCGATTTTGCAAAATTGTCGTCTGCTGAACCGACCTTTGTGGGTTGTGTTAATATTTTACGTACAAATGTCCTATTCACTATTAACACTAGCCCCTAGGGATTAAGCAAATGTTGATTTCCAGATCGGTGTTAGTGTTGTACCCGCACACAGTCAACGCACGAACGACGCCAATTTATTGTCTGACGATCAAATAAAAATATGTGAAACACGTAATTCCTATATTCTTTCGTGTAAAATTAGTTATTTTCTAAGACCAGAGAAATAGGTGTAAATTTATTCTGTACTTTTCATGATATCTTTAGTTTTGATGTACTAATTTTAAATCATGGTCGTAAAATCAAGTATGTGGTGACGTCACGGCTGGTGTTAAACTATCAATTTTGATATCGGTATCGGGCTCTTAATTTCATCAGCAAATTCTCCGCTCGATTTAAGAGCTCTCGACTGCTCTAAACACTAACACTAACACTAACACCAAACTTGAAATCACTCATTGTATTGAATGAAGGAGCTACTGCCTGTTAGTGTTGCAATTAAAACGGCCTTGTGAAATCTAATCAATCCATTTGCTAATAGCCAGTCACGGTTTGCCTTTGAATTACATGTATTTGTAATGTGAAGTGTGCATTTTCTGTACAAAAGAGCTACTAATTAGCTAAGTGTAGAGCATGCACTTGAACATGAGTGGTACTTCTAAATACAGCCACATGTACTTGTACTTTGTAAAGAGAGAGGCAACAGACAATGATACATGCATGTTCATGCATCTCGCTAGCCTCTTGTGGCACGTACAAAACTACGACACGATGAAATTTGCATTAGTCGAGAAGATGGATACACACAATAAGATGCACACTTTTGAGTTCTGGTAAATATAGAAAATGAATTCTCACAGAATCCAACATAACTTAAACTGAATGTTCAAGATTACAAATAAATGACATGTGCTAAATGATTTTGGTAGAAAATGTAAAGTGGCTGAGTAATGAGCATAGAAAGATAAGTACATGTAGGCCCTACACTGTGTGCTTATATAACACAGGTCCCTATGTGCAAATGAGTGTTGTGGTTTTTATCGAAGATGATTTCCAGCAAGTTTTTGTGAGGTTCGTTTTATATTACTGGTTCACACATAATCAATCTACAGGATAAACAATCCAGAATGACTGAATTAAAGCCATGTTCTCTCGACATACGATACCCATACCAGAGCTCAAGATTAGCTTTAAGCAGTAAACAACTTGTATTCAGTTACTACTGGGTTTATATGTGTAAGTAACGATTACTTAATTATGAAATTGGAAGGATCCACATGTCTGGCATTTATAATTTCATTAAATAACAATATACATCTACCAGAATAGCTCCAGAACAGTCCAAAAGTACTCTATTTCACATGCCTTTAGACGTTCCAAAGTTAAAGGTAAAAAACCAGTATTGGAAACGCCCCACTTTCAAACAATGAAATGGAAGCTCTTATTACCAATCATGTGAAAGAATATGTTTTGACTAATACATGATGATAAAAATTTTGCCGGGAAACTGCCTCCTAATTGATATATTTGGTAAATTAGTTTATCTATTGATGTGTGAGAGATAAACACACGTGTCGCGCACATGTGCGTAGTCCCATATACATCTTTCTGTGTACAATGCTTGTAACTTAATGAAGACTGGGCCAAATTTCTTATCATTTTGATGATTCCAGAACGTTGCAGTACACATCAATACTTATATGCTAGATGATCAACCTTTTCTGATCGATTCCACAACGTTTCTTTCACAATGCAATCGCATTACCATAACTGGTCTTTATCTTTAACACGCGAGTATAAATTTCTTTTCATGCACTCTGTAAATTGTTTGATTAAAACTGTTTAAGAAAGAGATTATTTGCTCTACATGTAGTTCACAATTCAAACTTTTAATGATTGTTTGCAGTGCTGGGGTGAGCAATATTCAAGCAATTCATACAGTGTTCAACAAAGTACTGCATTATGTTCAATCATTTTATATGCAAATGGTCCACAGGAACGTGCATTTACAAGTATGTTGAGGAATAACGGGTACATGAGATATGATTGGACAGTCATGATCATCATATTATATTTTATCTGTCAAAAGAATATGTGTTAATAATTCTAACTCATTCAGCTATAAGGTAATCATACAGAAATTGCGAAAGGAGAAAATAATCAGAAAATGAAAAAAACGCATCTCTACAAGAATGTTGACTGAATTACCGTAATTAACGGTGTATAAACTGCCCTCATGTAATAACCGCACCCCTCTTTTTCGCCCGATTCTGTCGGCAGCAAGCCAGGTCCGTGTTAAAAAACCCACGCGGGAAGGCCTTTCATTTAACTGCGAGGTGCAGCTGAATGTGTAAGATCATTAATGTAACTTTAAAAAACAGTAGAGGACCTAGGATAGAACCTTGTGGTACGCCATGTAATAGAAGAAAAATTGGAGGAATTATTATTATAAACTACATATTGAGATCTATCAGAAAGATTACTTTCAACCAAGATGACAGACAAATTTGGTTGTGCACTTGCAGACTATATGAAAGAGTACTAGTATATTGAGAGTAATATCAATGAAGTAATATCAATGAAGAAATATCAACTCTTTATTGCCTTGCCCCACGCGGCTCCTTTGAAGCACGCAAAAGTCGACTGTCTTCAAGATGTGTTTTGTTTCCAATGTCTGAGACTGACAAAAATTGGAAAAACAAAGTAGTTCACTCTTAAATTACCTGGACTACATTGTTATGACCTGGACAATTACAAATAAGCCAATTTTGTCCGTCTTTCCATCTCACATTCCCTTCCACCACTCCACCTTCCATCCATCAGTCTCTCTCTCTCTCTCTCTCTCCCTCCCTCCCTCTCTCTTCTCTTCCTCACTTCCTCTCTCTTTCTTTATTTTTCCTTCTACGGTTCTACCCCTCCCCCCCCCTCTCTCTCTCTCTCTCTCATACACTTTCTCTCTCACTCATCCTCTCCATCCCTTTATATCTCTCTTTTTCCTGCTCATTCCATTTCTCTGTCACTCTCAAATTCCGATTTTTGTTTTCCCATCCCGTACTTCTTTTCTCTAACTCTGCCCC